GCGGGCGACTACAGCGTCGTACAGTGCCTGTGCTGTCCTGTGCTGTCCGAAGTGAGCGCATTCAGCTCATGGCAGGTGGTTGCGAATGGCTAAGCGGGCAGCAGCGTCGCGAGTAAGCCACTGTGAGCGAGTCGAACTGTCAGCTGTGGCGGGAGGGGCAGCAGCAGCTTTTGACGCTAGGACAAACAGCGAGACACTGTCCTTAGAATCGCTAAGTAGGTACAGCTGCAGGTCGTCTAGCCACGTGTCAAACTGAACCGGTCTGCCCTCATGATCAAACGTGAGAACCTGAAGCGAATCCATAGCTGTGCAGCGCGCAGGATAGCAGTAGCAGCAGTAGCAGCAGCAGCAGCAGCACCTGTAACATTTGCAGCAGTGACAGTGGGGGGGGGCCAGGCGCGGGCTAGGGACGGGGCCGGGCGCTGGGCTAGGGACGGGGCCGGGCGCTGGGCAGGTACGGGGCCGGTCGCTGGGCGCGGAATGGGGCCGGGCGCGGGCTAGGGACGGGGCCGGGCGCGGGCTAGGTACGAGGCCGGGCGCGGTGCTAGGGACGGGGCCGGGCGCTGGGAAGGTACGGGGCCGGGCGCGGGGCTAGGTACGGGGTTGGGCGCGGGCTAGGTACGGGGCCAGGCGCTGGGCTAGGGATGGGGCCGGGCGCTGGGCAGGTACGGGGCCGGGCGCGGGCTAGGTACTGGGCCGGGCGCGGGCTAGGTACGGGGCCGGGCGCTGGGCTAGGGACGAGACCGGGCGCTGGGCAGGTACGGGGCCAGTCGCTGGGCGCAGAACGGGGCCGGGCCCGGAGCTAGGTACGGGGCCGGGCGTGGGCTAGGTACTGGGCCGGGCGCGGGCTAGGTACAGGGCCGTGCGTGGGCTAGGGACGGGGCCAGGCGCTGGGGTCGACGGGCCGCGGGCTAGATACGAAGACGGGCGCTGGCTAGGTACGGGGCCGGGTGCGGGCTAGGGACGGGGCCGGGCACAGGCTAGGTACGGGGCCGGGCGCGGAGCTAAGGGCCGACGGGGTCGGGCGCGGGGCTAGGGGCCGACGGGGCCGGGCGTGGGCTAGGGACGGGGCCGGGCGCGGGGCTAGGGGCCAACGGGGCCGGGCGCGGGCTAGGAACGGGGCCGGGCGCGGGGCGAGGGGCCGACGGGCCGCGTAGGCTAGGGGTCGACGGGCCGCGGGCTAGGGGTCGATGGGCCGCGTAGGCTAGGGGCGACGGGCCGGGCGCGTAGGCTAGGGTCGACGGGCCTAGGGGCGACGGCCTAGTGGGGGTACTAGCAGCGTAGCAGGTGATGGGCCCAAGGAACCTGCTCTGATTCCATGTCAAAGTAACGAACAAGAATGGATGAACTATGAAACAGTTGGGTACAAGTACTAACCCTAATTGGGTTGTACCCCTTATGGGCTACCCCACTACAGCCTACACAAATGTATAAGCTATAATGTTCTGACACGATCGGGGCGACTCTTTTTCATCGCCGCCACAATTTGAGCGGCGGACTTTACCGTCTTATCCTCCACCACCTCCCCATATTTAATCTTTAGGGCCACATTAGCCACGTCAAAGCCGCGTTGGTCAGCGGTGAACAAAAACAAAATCTTTTCCTCGGCCTCTTGTTCAATCTCTTTTATATAGAGAGCCGCTTGTTCGCTTCCCTCGGAAGGCAAAGCACTCAACGCATGGCGAGCAATGATTTGAATTCTTTCGAAACCAAACATTTGAGTACAAACACCGTCGCTCTCAACGAGAGCAGATCGCAAATGCGGGCGTGCTGGAGGAATAGGAACGAGTGCCGATGACGAGTGGGGGGTGGGGGCGTGCGGAAGAGGGCGAGGGTCGTTACCTTCGTTAATTTCCTCGAAAATGCCACGCTCGCCTTCTTCCTCGTCCGCGGCCGCCTCGGGAGCCTCGACATGGCGTGTTGCTGGGCGAAGGTTCTCAGGATGAGCCGGCCTCCCGTTGGCGTGGTTGCGCTGGAGCGTCTCCAAAAGCTCGGTCATTTGGTGAAGTGCGTCGACGTTGTACGCCAGGTTGCTAACATTACGACGCTCCATACGGTCGCTCCGAGAAGGTGTAGCCCGAGCGTTCGCTGCCGAAGGAGAAGCAGGGCTTTCCAGAACGCGTCTTGCAGGGGCGCCAGAAAGTTGCGCCAGAACCTGGAGCAGATTCGCCTGTGCAGTGTTGTCCAGACTCTCGAGAATCGCGGCGAAATCTGGACGAGCGGCTGCACGCGCGGTCTCGATTTCGTCAAGATTCTGCTGCGACGGAGGCCGCGAAATTCTCCCAGGCGAAAGATTCGCCACGCGCGCTGCTGACGCTGGCGCGCGATCCCCCTGTCCCTCAAGCGTGTGCCTTTCCTGACCTGACGCACGTGCCTGAGGGGCCTGAGGGGCCCGAGGGGCCTGAGGGGCCGAAATTGTCGCGACCACAGTGCCAGCCTCCGGATTTCCGAATCCGGGAGGCCCCTCGTGGTTGACGCGACTGCCATGGGCGTCATCATTACGCCCCTGGCGGTTTTCTGCTCCTGCTGCAACAGCCGCGCCAGCAGGGCAGGATCTCGCTCAAGGTCCGTCCCGATTGCGTTCGTCGGGGCGACTGTTACGAGCACCAGTCGTGGCGATTGGAGCCCGATGGTCGTCGTCGTTCCGGTTGGTTACTCGAGCTGCGGCGCCAATTAAATCAAGAGCAGTAAAAGCCGCGCGATGTTCATTTCGGGGCGAGCGAGACCTCTCCCTTCCAGAAGTTGAAGTTCTGTCTTCGTCTCGCCGAGGTGATCCACGCCTTGACAAACTTCTAGTGTTAATGCGAGTAGGAGGAGGTCGTCCGTTAACGGCAGAAACAAATCTGCTCGCCATTGCATTAATTCTAGCAGCAAAAACGTCTTGAAGGAGGGTTGAGGGTTGATGAGATCCAAGTCTAACCATAGGAAGGAGATTGTGCCAACTCAAATTGAGATGAGTGAAATGAGACAAGGTGGCAGGTCCGTGGACCTGTCGAAGGATAAGATGGGAATGCCTCCTTATTGCATTCCCCTTTTTCCGAAGCTTGTCACAATCACTAAATTTATAAATATATTTCTAAATTATTCATATATCTGAACGTTGCATCAGCTTGCTTCAGTTTAGGGTTTAGCTATCAGCTTGCCAGGGCTCTCGTTATCAGTGTAATTTACACTGCTATACTGATTAGAAGGGTGAATTTTAGGGCCTGCACTGATGGGTTTGGGTATTTTTTGGGGGGATTAGTGTTACACTGATATGTCTGTGTAACGATTCAGGCCACACTGATGCTCTGGGGTAATTTTTCCCTTAGCGAAGATTACCCTGAAGAGCGTGTAGGGAACCACCCTCCCCCCACCTCCCCCCCCCCCCTCTTCGGAAACTCTACTTATCGAGACGAATTTTTCTAGAAAGTTCGTAACGATACATCCAATTTCGTAATGATGCACTAAGACTCTAGCACGAGAGTACTGACAACCGACACTGCGTCACTCCGTGTTTGCTTGCATCCTACCCATTACCGTGGAGGCGATGCAACCTGATTGGTCGAAGCTGCACTCACTGCAAAAACTTCAACTTTCTCGGCTGGGAAATTTGGGACTAGAGGTCCCCAAACACACGTTCCCCCTGGGAAGCTTGGTTGCTGCCAGCACATACTGAGCTGCCTAGAGTACAATCAGGGTAAAAAATATACCTACACTGATGCCTCTGGGTAAAGTTTTCAAAACTTCAATTTACACTGATCCATCAGTGTTTCCAAAAAGGGCACACTGCTCAGAAGGGTTTTGAAAATATCTACACTGCTAATCGTGAGTAGGCAAAATCCAAAACTAAGCCCTGCAGCTTGCATCTTTTTAGCTGAATATTCGGATTTCATTTCAGCGTTCAGATACCATTTCAGCTCTTCATATTTCATTTCAGCTCTTCAGATTCCATTTGAACTTTCAGATTTCGTTCCAGCTTTCAGCTTTCGGGTTCCAATTCAGCTTTTAGCTTTCCTTTTAGACTTAAAGCTTTCAGTTCAGCTTTCTAACCTTTATTTCAACTTTCAGCTTTCAAATTTCAACCCTTACCTTTCACTTGGCTTTCACCTTTCTGTGCAATAAATGACGTCTCCCACAGTTGTTAGCAGAAATAACTAGAAATTCGTGCACTTGCTGCTTGTGCTGGTGACGCTGAGCACCAGGTGTGTCTCGAAGCCAACTTTCACATCTCAGCTGCCTCAAATCTCCCACTCTTTCACACTCCCCCACCCCACCCACTTGCAATCGCAGGAGAGCCAGCCCATCTCGCTCGTATATGGCGGCCAGAACCCGCACTGGATGCGAATCGTTCGCTTCTTCCTCGCCCGTCCGGGCTTACACTCGCTTCACCTCTGCTTCTCTGACTCGGAGCAACTACCCACTCTCGGCGCCTGCATCGCTCAAAGCAGCCACTTGTCAGAGGTCCACTCGTGATCCCCGATTGATCATAGGGAAGGGTTACAGGCTCGTTGTCCTGGGGGGTTATGGGCGCGCTGACCCGCTACTTAATAATCCCTTTTATCCCAATGGTCTAGTGGTTGGGATTCTGATATGGTATCAGAGCGAAGGTCTCGGGTTCGAATCCCAGTGTGTGCACTTCGGGCATCCCAGTGCGGGGGGGTGTCAGAGGTCCACTGGTGATCCCCGATTGATCATAGGGAAGGGTTACAGGCTCGTTGTCCTGGGGGGTTATGGGCGCACTGACCTGCTACTTAATAAGTCATTTTATCCCAATGGTCTAGTGGTTGGGATTCTGACACCACTCCCTCTCGTCCCTCCGTCTGGAGATACAAGGCACTGTTTGTTCCTCCATGGGCCAAGAGAGCAAGTCCTGGCCGCTGGGTTTTCTCAAGGATTGTGCCCAGTTGCAGGAGCTGAACTTGGGGCGGGGCATGTGGAAACTCAACTGGCAATGTGTGAACACGGCGTGGTTCAAGTCGATCCGCAAGCTGACCCTAGAGCAGGTTCATTACGGGAGCATGAGATTTCAGTTTCTCGAGATTATCACACGGCAGCTGCACGAGTTCACTCTCTATGAGGACGGCAATATGCTTCGTGAACATTCCTGCGTGGCCTCCACCACCACCCTCGCCTTCACCTTCCCCAACGTCCGCCTCCGTCGCTTCCGCTTTGCCAGTGCTGAGCTACACCTCACCCTCACCGTCCCGCCCTCCCTCGAGACTCTCTCAGTCGTGGCCAAACAGCTGGTCCTCTCCTGCAAGAGCAGTGCTGCTCTCGCTCTCCACCACCTCTCGCTGTACGGCAAGGATCAGCTTGTTATCTCCTCCCTCCGCCTTGCATCCGCCAGGGTTGTCTACTTGGACGGACCTGCAAGTAACCAAGTGGGTTTTTCCTGGACGGAATGGCTTGGCACTATAGCTCCAACAGTGGAGGTGCTTATAGTGAGGCACGTGGTGCTTATAAACAAGGTGGAGGCGGAGTGGGGGAGGCTGCGGAGCCTTGGGATTGTCGTGCCCCCCTGGGACAGGAGTGCCTGTGTGAACAACTGGGGAATGGGAATGGTCTCGGATGACGATGAGAGTGAGGAGCATTTAGACGATGGCTGGTTGCGCTTTTCTTGGGCGGATGAACCGGAATATTTCGGTTCAGAGCCGGATGAGGAAGTGGATGAGGATGACTAAATGTTTGATGATGCTAAAGATGATGATGAGGATGAGGATGATGAGGATGAGGATGATGATGACGATGATGGTGTTGGTGATTTTGGTTGTTACGATTATGACCGGCTGTTTTGGGCAATGTATGGTCCAGAAATAACAGCCAACATAAGGGATCGGGAGCGGTTGATGAAGGCGTTCCCCAAGCCTCCGTCCATCCGCACTCCGAAACTGCGGTTTCTCTTCTTCCCCACCTGCAAGGCACGTAATGAGCCTGCACTGGCTGCACTGCAGCAGGACTACCCCGCCCTGGCGCTCTACTGTGTGGTGGACCGCTCCTACTGGCATAGGAAGGGCCAACCCGTGATTAATGGGCCGCTCGAGCATGTGAGGCGGGCCAAGAGTGGGGTGTGGGATGAAGAAGAGGGGGAGAAGAGGGCCAAGAAAGTGAAGGAGAAGATGCACAGTGTAAACAGGAAGCTGGTGGAGGGGTATTGTGCTGGGGAGGACCAGGTATACGTGCTGCAGTATCAGTAGAAGGGAGGGATGCTTCTGGTGCCTGTATTAGCCTCGAGGCCTTGGTAACTTGCACTCTTGCTGGTTGAACCAGCCAGTAGCGCATGACGATGGCATGAATTGGACGAGGTAGCAGAAGCTTACAATCGCTCGAGTCATATGTAGGTTATCAATACAATATTGTTTCATTCACTTTTCTTCCATCATGTCTGTGTTGTAAATCAAGGTATGGTTTGTTTCCAACTTGCATTTTTGCAGATTATTGTGCAGTGTTGTTACTTAAGAGAATGTAGCGCACCCATGTATGTGTAAAAAAACATGAAATGCAGAGACGCACTTCACATCCATGAACATCATCATCGTAATGTAGGCAGCATGCATTATGCTAGCACACATCATAATGAGGAGGGTGTGGGTGCTGAGGAGACAGATGCAGCGAGGAGACGTGGGTGTCAGGTCAGGCGGAGGGCAGCAGCAGTGCGGCAGCAACAGATCTTCCCTCCTCGTTCAGCACGTTGAGTGTGGCTATGGCGTGACGCTGGGGGGGGGTTAAGGGGAAGGGAAGTGGGGGATATGAGGGAGGACAGGGGTAGGTGTGTGGAGGGAGGAGGGAGAAGGTGGGATAGGAGGCCTGTAGGAGATAGAGGTGGGGGAATGGCATGGGCGGCCCTCCTCGTTGAGTGTGTCGAGCGTTGCTATGGCGGGTGGTGCTGGTGGCGTGTGTGGGGAGGTGGGGACCGATGGGGGCCCACATGCAAGGAAGGAAGTGATGGGGGGAATGGCATGGTGCAGGAACTGATGGGGGGAATGGCATGGTGCAGGAAGTGATGGGGGGAATGGCATGGTGCAGGAAGTGATGGGGGTGGGAGGAAGGAAGGGAGAGGGGGGGTTGCTGGATACGGCATGGTGCTTTGAGGGGTGCAAATAGGAGGGCGGCGGGAAAAGGAGGAGAGAAGGAGAGGGTGGGGTGCTGGATATGGCATGGTGTTTTGAAGGGGGCAAATAGGAGGAGGCGGAGGGGTCAGGGGTTAGGGAAGTGTGAGAGGTCAGCAGTCAGGACACAAAGTGGTTCTGAGCTTTGATAGGAGTGATGCTGAGCGGTGATAAGAGTAGTGCTGTGCGTTCCAGCCAGTAGCAGAGGCACTCACAGTGGAGAGCACTTCGAGCTTCATGCCACACGCCCTCACAAACTCCCTCAACTCCCTGGGTGCTGCCTGCATGCGCTTCCCCGTGCCCAGTAGCAGCAGCTCTGCACAGCGAGAAGGGTGGGCGGGGGATCGGGGGAGGGGGGAGAAAAAGAGGGGAGGAGGGGATAGGAGAGGAGGGGTGCAGACAGGTGGACAAAGAGTCGGAAAGGGGAAAGAACAGGGGAAATGGAAGGGGAAAATAAGAGAAGCGGTGAGAAGAGGAGAGGAGAGGAGAGGAGAGGAGAGGAGAGGAGAGGAGAGGAGAGGAGGGAGAGGAGAGAAGAGGAGGGGACAAGAGAGGAGAAGGGAGGAAATGTTGCTTTCTATGCCTTGCCCATTCCATGCCATGCCTTGCTCATGCCATGCCTCCCATGCCTCCCATGCCTCCCATGCCTCACATTCTGAAGATCAGGCATGCATGCCTACAAAGAAGCAGACCACCATTTACAACACACCACCCATCATGCAGAGCAAGCAAAACGAGAAACACAGCAAGTAGCACTGCATTCACAGCATTCGCAACAACACAGCATTCGCAGCAACACAGCATTCGCAGCAACACAGCATTCGCAGCAACACAGCATTCGCAGCAACACAGCATTCTCAGCTGCTCACCTGGTTGTGGGCGAATGAGCTGAAATAGAGCCAGGCTGCGTGGAGGGCAGGCAGAGGCGGCAAGGGGGGAGGAAAATGGGGGGTTTGAGGCAGGGGCAGAGAATGAGGTGGAGAATAAGGAGAGAGTATGGGAGGGAGGGAAGCAGGTAAGGGCTAGAGTGAAAGCCAGTGTGACAAAAAGGATGGGTTGAGGAGGGGGATGGAGGCACAAAGGGAGAGGGAAGATAGAGGGGCGGGAGGGGCAGAGAGCCCGCAGCTGTTTTGGCGAATGCATGAGAACGAGGTGGCTGCAAGAAGGGATGGATGGAGTTGACGGTGACGCGAAGGGTTGGGGGGAGGAAGCACATAGTGGCGGGCTGGGAGGAGGGAGGTGGTACGGGCATGCGAGGAGGAGAGAGACGAGCGGCGATAAGAGGGAGAAATTGGAAAGAAAGGCAGACATGTCATGCGCCCAGATGTCATTGCTGCAGCAAACGCATGAAGGGAAGAAGGAGGAATCGAGTGACCATGACATGCCAACACCAGCAACCGTGAGGTAACGACCGCTGCCACACCCCTCCCTCCCATCCCTCTCACCCCCCTCACCCATCTAACCCGTCCCCTCTATTCGCACTCGCCCCTCACCCCTCACCCCTCACCTGTCGGGTGTGACGTCAGCGAGGCAGGAGGGCGACCAGCAGAGCGCCAGGTCACCCACGCAGAGGATGGAAGAGTCCAGGTCCCTTCCGCCCACTGTGAAGCCCTTATCGTCGTACCTGGGACAGATAGGTGCAGGGGTGGTGGTGTGTGGAGGGGAGTAGGGGAGCATGGAGGGATAGGATAAGTGCGAGCCACAAGGCGAGTCCACGTCCCTACTGCCCACCGTGAAGCCCGTATCGCGTCGTACCTGCAGCGGGCGTGTGCAATGGGCGCAGGAGGTGCAGGGGAGTAGGGGTTGCAAGGGGTGCAGGGGGTGCGGGGGGTGCAGGGGGTGCGGGGGCCTTACGCTGCTCAGTCGGCCGGTTGCGGTCTCCCTGGCAGACCCCTCTGGGGGTCCTGTCCTTGCTCGCTACTCCACTGTCCTCCCGTGTCCGGCGGCCCCGTCAGGCTCCCTGTCTGGTCTCTACCTCCCCTCGTTCTCCACGAACTTGGTGAGTGGTGCTGACCTTCAGGATGCCGGAGTTGACCAGTTCACTCCTGCAGGTCAGCGAGTGACCCACTGCACGTGTGCTCAGACGGGCCACCACTTGGCCTCGTTTACCCGTCGACCGGGGTCGAGCCTGTACACACTGACCACAGAGTCTCCTCCGGTTGCTGCGTCTGGTCAGGTAGCTGCGTCGAGTCAGGTGTTTGCTGCAGCGTCTCGGTCAGGGCCTGAGTCTGCCCCCTGCTCGTGTCGCCTCCTGTCCCACCAGACCCTCCTCTGGCACCAACGCCTTGGTCACCCCTCCTTGCCTCGTCTCCGAGGCATGGCCTCCCGTGTCCTTGTCTCTGGTCTCCCCCGGTCCCTCCCTCCCCTTCCCCCGGGGCCTGCCCCTACCTGCGTTCCCTGCGTCGAGGGGCGGCAGCGCGCCGCTCCTCACTCCTCCGAGTTTCCCCCGACAGAGGCTCCGCTGCAGACTCTTCACATGGACGTGTGGGGCCCAGCCCGCGTCCGTGGACAGGGTCACGAGCGTTACTTCCTGCTGGTCGTTGACGATTACTCGCGTTACACCACTGTCTTCCCCTTGCGCAGCAAGGGTGAGGTCACTGAGGTGTTGATCGACTGGATCCGCGTTGCTCGTCTCCAGCTCAGAGAGCGTTTCGGCTCGGACTTTCCTGTTCTGCGTCTGCACTCCGATAGAGGCGGAGAGTTTTCCTCCGACCTTCTGCGAGCCTTCTGTCGTGCGGAGGGCATCCGCCAGACGTTCACGCTTCCGGCCTCTCCACAGCAAAATGGGATTGCTGAGCGCCGCATTGGCATGGTCATGGATGTCGCTCGTACGTCCATGATCCATGCGGCTGCTCCCCATTTTCTGTGGCCGTTCGCGGTTCAGTACGCGGCGCATCAGATCAACCTTCAGCCCCGGGTCTCCCTGCCGGAGACCTCCCCTACTCTGCGGTGGACGGGGAAGGTTGGTGATGCGTCTGCGTTCCGTGTCTGGGGATCTCGAGCTTTTGTCCGAGACTTGTCTGCGGACAAGCTGTCCTCCCGTGCTGTTCCTTGCGTCTTCCTCGGCTTTCCCCCTGACGCGCCTGGTTGGCAGTTTTACCACCCCACCTCGCGTCGTGTTCTGTCCTCCCAGGACGTCACGTTTGACGAGTCGGTTCCGTACTACCGTCTCCTCCCCTACCGCACTGCCCCCCTCCCCCCCCCGCCGCTCTTCCTCGCTCCCGGTCCCCCCCCGGTAGACCCCCTCCCCCCTCAGGGTCCTGCCCCCTCAGGTGTGTCCCAGGTAGATGCAGTCGAGCCTGTCGAGGTAGCTGCTGACTCTGGTGCGTCTGGGGGTGCTGAGCCTGAGCGTGTGGAGCCTGGGGGTGCTGGGTCTGGGGGTGCTGAGCCTGAGCGTGCGGGGCCTGGGGGTGCTGCTTCTGGGGGTGCTGAGCCTGGGGCTGCTGGGAGTGGGGGTGTGGAGCCTGTCGGTGCTGGACCTGGCGGTCCTTCGGGTGCTTTGTCCCGGCGGGAGCTTCCCTCTCCACAGGAGCTGCGCGAGTGGTTTGCTCGCCGCTGGAGCAGTGCTGCTGGAGCTGGAGGTGCTGCCGGTGCTGGAGGTTCTGCTGCTGCTGGAGGTTCTGGAGCTGGAGGTGCTGCTGGAGCCGGTACTGGAGGTTCTTCTTCTGCTGGGGGTGCTGGAGCCACGGGTCCCGGAGGTGCTCGTACTGGAGGTACTGGAGCTGCTGGGCCTGGTGGTGCTCCTGGTGCTGGAGCTACTGGTGGAGCTGGAGCTGGTGGTGCTGCTGGAGTGGGTGCTACTGGAGGTACTGGAGCCGGAGCGGCTGTGTCTGCTGGTGGTCCTGCTGGAGCTGGAGCTGCTGGAGGTACTGGAGCTGGTGGTGCTGCTGGAGTTGGAGCTGACGCTGGGGGTACTGGTGTTGTCCCTGCTGGTTCTGGAGGTGATGCGCGGCCGCGGCCGTACTTCGTTCCGCTCCTTGAGCAGGTTCTTGGTCTTCCGCCTTCTCCTAGTCCTGCTCCTTCCTTAGAGTGTCCTCCGCCTGTCCAGTCCGAGTCACAGTTACAGCTGGCCTCCCCTCTGGCTGCTC